CACCTCGTATCTGGAACGTGTGGTACCGATTGTGCTCTTTGGAATGCGCCCTTCCCTGCACCCAATTTTTTTCGTCTCTGGAAGCGCCCTAACAACCCCTCCTTTTGATGATATATTGTGAGATTTATCTGCAACCATTCCACTAATATCCTTCGTCGTCAAGTTCTTCTTTGTAATGGAAATGAGATAACGCTAATGTTTGTTTCCGTTGGCTTAGTCTTCATTTGCATTTTAAACCTTTCTAGGAGAACGCGTAACGGTAGATTAGTCTTTCTTTCTTGGACTATATTGTGTCACGCGGAATGTCGTATTTGAATGGCATGCCCAATCTGCACCCTTCCGCAAACCTCTACTTTAGAAGTGGCGTTCTCTCTTCGTTACCCACCAACTCCGGTGATTTGATGAGAAGTCTGCAACAAGAACGGAATCTTCACGACTAAAAATACGTCCAGTGAGACACTTGCCGCTAATTTCTTTCTGATTTGTTTTCTCCAATAGATTTGTTTTTTTGGGGATACAGCGCGTCGAAAAAGCCTTCACCCTTTTCCCAAACAACCACTGGCACGCCGGACAGTCGCGCTTTCGCTTTGACTGCTGCTACATTGTTAAGTTTGATCCGTCGAACTGAATCGGCTATAATATAAACAAGGTATCTCATTTGTGACATGATGACGATGAACTTCTCAGGGTGGACCCGGAAGCCACACTCACCATGGCGTGCTAAGACTATATCCAGTGTATCAAAGGTGTCTTGGTCATTTAGCCCGGTTTCGACGACATCCTGTAAGTAAGCAGCGGCGCCTGGTTTATCAGTCAACATTGTGTCAACTAGCTGCGGAAAAATAGTGAGAGCAGTCTATCCTCCAAAAAGAAGATGGTTGTGTTGAAACCGTCCGCATTAATTCTCAACAGCTGCTTAGACTCGGGTGCGACTGGAACCTGTAGATAATCATCCACCAACTAAAGTTTGTGAAGAATTTACCTCGTTTAATTTCGCGTACATGCCTTCAGGCACTGGTAGAAGGCACAAATGGGCCCTCAGAACGGCATACAACCCTGTTGAGGAAGTAGCACAAGCCGGATGGACCCGTTTGCGTTTTGAATGAGGACAAAGATGCCGTCCGTTATGAGTAATTGACTAGCACTATTATAATAGCTGCTTGAAGTCTACTCAATTACGGTTCCACAAGAGCCATTTTTGCATACAAAATCGGACGTTCTGGTCGGAAAACAAGTCGGAATCCTGGCTTTAGCGTTAGAACAGCGGTAAATTTAGTGCGTAGACAAAGACCGTCTGCAAACACACTAGAGTGTTTTTTTCAAAACGGGTTATTCAGTTTTTGTCTGTGCTTTGTAATAACTGGGTGGCCTGTCCAAATTTTGCTTGCTAGTCCAATCAAAGCTAGGAGGATCGGGAACATGACTAATACCATTCGAAATGATATTGTCAAAAGTAATGGAACAACTAGACTAACCAGGGTGCCTGAGTGAACTACTGGGTGCACTGTGTAAAACTCGTTTAATTCTGTTTATTGCAGAGCTGCTAAGAATTTTCTGTGGCTTTTGAAATGACGGTGATGTCCGATGCAATGTTTAGATGGAGACAAACAGGGGTGCCTTAATATGTAACGATAAATATTTTCTCTTGTAGATGCGTGGACTTGGGGAGGCAGCTAGAACACCGCTCGCCTTGGAAAGCTCGAAACTGAAAACTCAAAATGCGCCTTACGTGCTTGCCTTTGCATGCCCTGACAAAGACCCTCTTGTGTCTTCTAAATGGAGAGCAATTGGTAAAATGTCATTAACTACAAATATGGCATCTAAAAGGTGACATATTGAACGAGTGAGTTTGTTCACCGAAAACTGACGATGGAACGCAAAAGGTTTCATCCAAATTCAGCTCACTTTTTCTTCTTGGCAAAATGTAGTCCGTAAAACGTTGACCGATTTCCTTTGATAATTGTCTTGCTTTCCAGGAGTATTCTCTCTTTTCCAGACTCGCTCTAAAAAAACCTTCATGCATCCTGAAGCGCGAATCCAAAGTTATACGTGTGATTGGATCGCACTGGATTTCACTTTCGATATTTTATCAGTCATTGAAGTGGACGGCTCAATAGTCCGGCCAAGCGGTTTCTGCAGCGTCAATTTCTAATTCAGCATCTCAATGAGCTCTAAATGCGTCAGCTGTTTGAAGAGACTGAATCCGTCCAAATGAACTAACAATTGTGAACACTTGCCCGCCATTTGTTGGTTACGCAAGCACTAAACCAGCAAAACCACGCGATAAGAAAACGGAAAACCCGGAACCCGGCTGCTTTGCCGAGACAAACATAAGAGGATTCGGCGCAAGTATATAGAATAACTAAATGGCACATATGATTATTTACTTGCTTGTTTTGTCTAGCCAGTGGCGGCGTTTCTTTCACGAACAATCGTACACCGACTATGTCCGTCGTTTGATGCTTAGCACTGTTTGGTCGGCTCCATCAGTACATCTGTTATCATGAACGCATGTTGAAGATGTCGACCAGCAAATGTGCCCTTTTTCCTTCATATACGCGTTTTGACAGGAAAAACCAACTTGACGACTAATATGTGTGCTACTTTTCTAGATTAAATTAACCCTGGAACTCATGTCCACGTACTCCGAGAAACTTCCCCAATGGCACAAATTTACGCTTTGCTATTAGGTTAAGCTAAAGGAGAGTGAAATGTTTGGTTTTCTTATTGAAGCATTATCGGTCTGCACCTACTTATCACACACATATATCCGTTCGGTTCTACGGTGAAACCAAACCACAACTTGGGCATGCCAGCCTGTTCAATTCACGGATTTTTTGACTGATCTGGAGAGGTACTTTAAAGATCGACAATACACTTACGGAGGCGCTGCATCTGATTGCCACCCTTGGATGTTCTAGTCTAAAAGTAGCTATTTCGAGCTTAAGGTCTAACTTTTGGGCTTGAATGAACACCTATCTTTGCCATTTTCTTTTGAGCTGAGTGAAAAACAACGGAGATCGATCTTAATCATATCATATTATCGACATCTGGGCTATGGACCAAGGCCAAAGCAAATTTTAACAAAAGAGCATATCAAAGCCGTTAAATGTTAGTAGCAAAGCAGCCAAGTTTTACTGTTGAGGCTAGATAAAGGCACAGAAATTGTCACGATGGATTACTCTGGCTGCATAATCAGGGTGATTATCATCTTTCCGGGAAGGTCCAGGCGGTGTTGGAGCGTATCCGGGAGGCTGGGCTCGCACGCTGGGCACTCCGGTTGCAAGAGATCAGATGGAACAGACTCACTAACAATTGTTCTCTTTAAAATAGTTCGTCGTTGGCCCAGGTCAGCGAACAAACAATAATCCAATCATGTTGGTCCACAGGTCTTCTGAAAATTTCCCACATATAATAGATTCCGAAGATGTCTGAAACGTTTTGGTACCAGAGTTAGTACATGAGACTCGCGAATGACCGCTGCAAGCGCGAGCGAAATCATAAGAGAGAGTCGAAGCACATGACCATGCTTGTATTATGTGAAATTGTACAAGCGCGCGTTTTTTTGTAGCTTTTCGTATTTAAACAAAAAACGAGTATGCAATTGATGAAATACGTAGTGTTATAATGGAAGTAAAACAAAGGTACAAAACGCCACACTACTCCCCCGTGTGTTAACAACAGTCGATCGCTCCACGCGCTGGCCTCAAGCGACACCAATGCGCGATTGTTCGTCCGAAACCTTGTCGATTCTTGGGTATCCAATTTAGGTGTCCCTGAGAGCATCACTACAGATCGTGGGAGTCAGTTTACCTGTTCCTTGTCTCGTGAACTAAACCACCTATTGGGATGCAATCATTTCAAAACTACAGCTCACAATCATGCAGTCAACGGCTTAGTTGTACTCCAGCTCATCTAGTCTATGGACAAATGCTACGTTTTTTCGGAGACATGGTATGTGTATCCACACCCAATGAAGAGCTCTCACCATCGGCATACTTCAGTCGACTGCAAGATCATATGCGTGCTCTTCGCTCATCTAACACTCGGAAATCCGGTCGACGCACACATTTGGACCACGGTTTATCTTTTTGTACACATGTATTTATGCGTGCTGACGGCGTCAAACGACCGTTGCAATATCCATATGATGGTCGGTTTAAAGTCATTTCTCGCAACGACAAATACTTCGTGATGGAGAAGAACGGAAAATCGGACTCCGTCAATATCGACAGACTCAAAGTTGCATTCATCGATGACGAATCGCACTTAGATCCCCCTACTGTAGTCAATTTACCCACAAGTTCCCGAACCTCCGGTACAGTCATCCCAGGGAACCACGAACATATATCACGACGTATTGACGATCAACCGTCACCTATCCTGAAGCAAACACGTTTTGGTTGAACCTGGAAGACACCTGTTCGCTTCGCAGACTACGCCCCTTGAGTTTTGTCACATTATCGAGCGTCATTCCCTTTCATTATTCCTGACGGTCTAGGGGGAGAATACTGTAGTGTCTGTAATCCGTTGTCACACTTACCATTCTTCCTGAACTTGAACCACACTTTGTGACTGTTGTTCACATTGTATCATGGCGTTTGTTTTAATGTTACGAATACACAATTTTCCGGTGCGACCTGCTGACTTCTTGCTGAACGAGTGTATTTACGTTCCTTTGAACTGTTTGTTGACTGCTGACCCAGTGGGACTAAATCTCTGTTTGTGTCAACTGTTGAACGTCACAATATATCCCTGTGACATTTTTTAGCCGTGAATAACTTTCCTACCGTGGAATATATCACGCACGCGGAACCATCTGTGGGAAATTCCGACAAGGGAATATTTCCTCTCACAGCCAGTTACTGCATTTGGATCAGTGTAGTGGACTATTGGATCTACACATTCGTGAGTCCCCATTTGACTACTCGTTCCTTTCCCATTGTGATTTTGTATTGTTTACTTTGCTTCTTAATTTATCCGAACACGCTGATAAGGTCCTAGTCCTCTACAGGAACCTTTCGCCGGTTTTGTATCTGTGTACTAGCCGGGTAATTTCGGAGCTCCATGGAAATTATTCTGTCACGTCTGAATGAGATAACTTCAAGGAAAAAGACAGGATACCGGATGAAGACGGACGTTATTGCAGAGAAACCTACGGAAGAGTTTTGCAGTTCATGTGACAACATCAGGTAGGAAATGAAATTACCGTGAAATATTACAAAAGTTGGAATTGTTTGTTGGGACCTGACAATCCTAGCAGAAAATATTTCCCTACCGGCTGTACCGTCAACCAAATGTAGGAAATTTTGTAACAGTTGCTGCGATGGAACCCACAAGGGACACAGAATCGCCACTTTGAGATGCAGCTGATGTCTGAGGACTGATAACTTGAGTATGAGAACGAATAAAGCGCTAACTCTACTGTTCCAACTACTTGTCGCCTGTGTGATGCACCGGTCAGATTTGACAGTTCACAGGAATGCAAAAGACTAATTTAAACTGCAACCAAGTGGAACGTTCTGTGATATAGAATTCGACTGAACCAGACTAATGAAAATGCTACCAGTCCAATGGGATATCGGTTAAAAGCTTAAATGTAAAAACAAGATGCAATTATACAAGGCAATCTTTACGAAAGTGGATTTGTTCGCTTGGAGTCAGTCTTTACAATATCTGTGATCTATGTCAGGAATTCCATACCTGCATGTGACGCCTGCGACGGCAGATACTGAAGGGCCTAAGAGAAGAACAAAAGCTCTTTTGGATAACGGGTACTCGGTAGATAGATAATGCGTCTGCTATCGGAAGCTGCTGTGCACCATGTCAACTGATACAATCGACAGGTCCCAAGAAGGCGGTGGTAGGTGAAAAGGTGAGCGGAAAATGCGGTTCATTAACTCACTCGTAAAAACATTGGCTTGAAAGATGGGCCGAGCATTTCCAGCAATTGTTTGGCTGGCCCCCTTCGACGCAGTCCATGTACATAATGCGAGCGGTCGAAGTTGTACCTTATTCGCCAATCGAAACAATAAATAAAGTGCGAAATATCGGTACTGAGAACTCAGGAGGCACCAGGAACGAACGTCTCTGCTTGGCCCGCGGAGGATTCCTGGTGGCCCATCTAATTAAACTCCGTGTGCGGTATGGAACGAAGAGATAACAGGGTATATCTACGGTTATTTTCATCTTCGAAAAGGGTGTGTGGACACTGACATCGGCCTGGCAGCTGTGGTATCAAGGGTGCTGTCCTAATTCTTCTATGGAAGAGACGGATTCGTGAAGACCAATATGGGTTCTGTCTTTTAAGGAAATGTATCCATCAAATATTCACCCTCCGACTGATTCTGGGACGGCGACACTGCTCCAGCAACAAACATTGGTTATATTCCTTTACCTGAAAGCTGCCCCTGACTCTGAGGATCGGTAGTCACTATAATAGTTTCTGTGGAGCGAAAATGTCTCCTACAGATTATTGACCCGCTTTAAGACATTGTGCGCCAACTCACGCGGATATGTTAAAGTCTACGGGAACCTCTTGCCTGAGTTCACTACATCGAGTGTTGACAGGCAGGGCTGTCCTCCTCCACCTTTCCTCTTCGACTTCGTTATCGATACGATCATGGAAGACTCACTACTAGTCTTCAATGTCTGTGGAAGTGAAGTGATTCTGGAGCGGCCACTCACGGATATGGAGTAAGCAGACGACATAACTCTTCTTTGATTTGACCCCGTGGTAATACAACCAATATTAAATACACTTAATAATTCTGCTTCATAGTTTAACATTCGCTTTAAACCTGCAATGTGTAAAGTGCCACTACAAAGGCTCAAACCCTAAGGTCCAAGTGACCACCTTCAATGCACAAATCCCCTCTCAATCCTTCTACTTAAAATTCTACTGACAACCCAAATTAACGCACCAATTATATCAGTCTTTGCCTTCAGTGCACAGCCACTTACCCCACCTCCGCAAATCACCAGCGAAAAAACTGTGGTGGCAATAATCACTGCACAACAAGTACGCGGTTCTTACAGCTGGTGATAATGATGATAAAGATTAAGCATTACATATCAGATTAATTTTGCAGCGTTACCAGTCGGATGTTCCCACCAGACCCGACCAATGCTTCGGAGACACCAATTGTCAAACACTGAGAGATTCTGTATGTCCCTTGGGCGCAGGGGCCACGCACATGATTCATAAAGCAGTATAGATCGCACTGCAGTAGTGTAAATTCTTCATCTGACGGACAAACTCACGTCACTTCGGCAGCAAATGTGTCGGCGAAATAATGTAAATAATGTCAGAGTCCACTTTAGATGTGATGGGTAACAGGTTGATGTCGCGATATGTTTTGCTTAACCTTCTTTCGCCCTTTTTTTTTAAACGGATGACTATCAGGGGGCTCCATCTTCCTGGTATTCTGTTTTCTTTCCAAATCCGCATTATGGGTATCAAACCGTTCACCAAGACCTCATCGCCCTTGAAGAGTTCGAGCTGTGGGCCATTGGCCCCAGGTGCCTTGTCGCGCTAGTCAACTAAAATCTCATGCTGGATTTCCGTTGTTAATGGCCTGGTGTTCCACTGATGTTCCACTCAGGTCCATGGGCCAGCTGATCTGTACTTTGAAGGGCTCAGCCCATCGTGCAACACCATGATTGAGACTGAATAGCCTTTCCACCTTGTTTCACTCGCACGTTGTTTCTTTTGACCAGAATCAGATTGAATATTCCACGACCGTTTGCTGCAGTGAAATCCTGGTTCATTTCCCGGAGCTTCGTAATCAATAGCGTTCTCTGTAATTCTTCAGGCACCGGTGTTTGAGATATCAGCTTGCACCCTCAGAATCTCTTGTTTTTGGTATGGCCTTTTTGGGAGCAACAAAATCTTATGATCCCGAGGATGTTCGGTATTAATTTAGTCGATCTTGAATGAACAGTTCTCAAAACTGAGAGCATGACTGCATTAAGTCACTCCAACTTCATTTCTCTGTCGTTCGCATGAATGTGCGCTTCCAACAGCTTTTTGTACGCTTGAGTCACTGAAACACATTGAAGCTGATGGAAGAAACTGCTGGTTTGGCACGCGTAATGCCGACGGAAGGCAAAGTGCTAACTGGGGCCGCGAGATGGCATGATGAGAGACAAGTGAAGTGCCCCAGAAGTAACGACAATCCTTAATTATGGCTCTCCGTCGGTAATTGATAACCACATGGTTCATTTGAGTTCTTTACCGTTTTGCGGCTGATGGCCTCCAAGTAACCCGATGCGAGATTTTGATCTGAAAGTTTTGTACTGGTCAGAAACAGAAGATAAGCTAAACGCAACTGAAGAAATCGCTCCCAATTGTCCGTATGCTGGCCACCGACTTCAAGTCTACCACTTAAATGTGCTTCTTCCAGGCTTAGCCATCCAAATTTGGTAATAAGATCACCCGCCAGGATCACTATATCCCTTTTGATGCTGACCAAAGGAATCGTGACCGATCCTAATAAAACCCGTCCTTTCCAGTCCTAGAACTTCTCTGTCGGGGTGTATAATGATGCGACGAATAAACACCGTACAACGCATCGAACTGCATTGATCTTATTCGAGACAGAAAACTGAATAGCGCAAAGACGCCTTTTACTACCATACACTCCAGCAAAGTGCTTCTAGCCTTTGGGCTGAGAGAAATTCCCATACCATTGATACCACGAGCCATTGCATCCGGATTATTCGATACACGATGAGTGAAGTATGGAACATCTGAGATTGTTCTAATTCGTTTAAGGTGGATGGCTGAAATAGGGACTCGCATGCTTCTTTCAGAGCCGCATGCATTATCAGATGGGGGAAGCAGGGATCAGTAAGATGTTGATGTGCAATTTGGCGAAGTACGGATATAAAACAGTGCACCATGGATAGGATGCTTTGAGGTTAAGGTTCGGTAAGATTCAACCCAGATTCGGCTTTTCCAATCGCCGTTAAGCGACGCCACGGCCGGAAAACAATTCCAAAAGCTTGGCCAAAGTTTGGGACGATTCTAATCCGGCAATATCCCAACAACTGATTGGTGAAAACCCTAGCACAAAAAGATGACAAACGGGAAAGGGTGATAGCTTTCGGTCGGAAATTGTAAAAATCCCGCCATTTTGGGTGGAGGATGTGAGATATATTCAGGTCTTTGAAAACCGATATCTTAGAACCATAGGTTGAATCGCTTTGAATAAGCCAATTCGGAATGATGTGATCAGGAGACGGACCCTCTAGGAAGCAGAAGGTATTTCACTCGAGAAGTGGGTCTAGTACTACAAGTTGAAGGGATTGGGTTGTGTGCCAAGTATACCAAGAAGAGTGGTGGGGCGAGACGGCGGTTAGTTAGCGCCGCGAATTTACTGACCGGAAGTTTCGTGGTTCAAACCCAACCTTTGCCTCCCGACTTCCCTTGTCGAGGATCGGGCAACCTGGCAGTTTCTCACCCCTCGTGCTTCCTTCGGGCTGTATGGCAGTTAGGCACCAAAAGGGTGTTACAACTGAACGAGGAAGTGTGGTGGTGTTTGGGCCTTTCGCTTCCCAAGATGGGACTACTTAACTTTCTCGCTGCTTGGCTGTAGACGCTGTAAATTACGACCGCTAACCTCTGCCAGTTGCTTTCGTGCTGAGAGTTTCTGTCCGAATGAGTTTTGGAGGTTTGGGCACCTCGAATGTTTGTAGTGAGCTAATCCTACGTGCATCATACTGTCCCATTTTTCTTTCCATTATAGGGCTTCATAATCGGCAGCATGACATCAGTGCTCAACACTGATGCTTCGCTGACATACAACCATGATTTATTTGAAGGCCTTGTTGTGGGGATAACAATAAAAATGGACTGGAAATGAACTTATTGCTGGCCTACTACAATCATTCCGATGTGGTTTCACCTCCACAGACTCATTAACATGATCTGGATAGGAATTCATAACAACATTGACGGAGATTAAGAGCGAGAAGGCCCAAGTGGTTAGAGCGCGAATTTATTGACCGGAAGTTATGTGGTTCGAACCCGACCTCTGCCTTCCGACTTCCCCTGTCTAAGCTTGGACAACCTGGCAGTAGACCAT